AGTCGCAGTTCCTTAGGGGTCACTTACCTGCCTCACGCGGTAGGTGACCTTCCTCCGACGCGCCCAATCATGCCACAAGCAACAGCGTTTGACAATGACTTATAAACTACTGTCACTTCCCAGACAGTGATTTGCACATGGACTGCAGGGGCACCGCCAGTCCGTCACATTGTCTGAAGCTGGGAAATTCTGCTCTGGAAAACGCCAGCGGTAACTGCCACCCAAGACAGCAACTCTGGGTTTTGTACACAATAAACACTCCTTCGGGTAGATTATAGTTGTATGCCCTTTAAGTGTGTTCTTCCTTAGGACTTCAAGAGGTCGTAATTAAACGGTGACAAGGTCAAAGCCACCGTTACGAAAATTTCAATTATCACGCGCACAATGACCTAGAGGATCGCTGGCGATTAACTGTGCTCTCGTGAGCATTTTTCTTAAATATGACCAATTGGGCCGATTTCAGACGCTTGACCAAAAACGTGACCAAATCGCAAAAAATGGGAATTCACCTACGTGCCCTTACCAGATTTCCGTTGACGCAAAATCCGATTTTTAGTTATCAGAGGAGATTCATTTGCAACTGCGTCTGCTGATACTTATTCAGTTTAGAGCATAAAATGCATATACAAGAATTTTGGATATTTTATAGTAGAATGTGTAGGTGAACAGCTGGACATCGAAAACGCGTCTGATAACGACTATGCAGATTAGATTTTACTTCTTGCAAACACATTTGAATTTATTTCTTATTTAGTACAACGCCTTTTGCATTTCAAGTTCAAATAACAAATGTAAAATGTATCCTCAACTCTAAGCCATAAGATGCTCTAAAATGTCATTAGGTAGGTCCTCTTATTTGCGTCTTTGATACCAGTTAGTTCCTTTATTTGAGTCTTCAACAGTAAAACAACAAAGGAGCACAGGTTTACACGCTGTGTTTATGGGCGGAGAAACATTACCGACAAACAGATAAGAGAGCAGAGCGGCAAGTACTGGCTTTTCGCCATCGTTGGGCCGTCATACCCAAGAAGTTGTGCAACCCTGTTAGTTAGGAGTCTAAGGATCTTACCAACATGCCGAGGGCTAGCTGCCTGACCAGTTTCAATCGGGAATATACACGATAAAAGATAGGCGTAAACCGATCGTTGATTGAACTCAATCGTCCTGTTGTAGCTTGGAGCTCGCCGTAAAGACCCACCAGCTGCTGTTCGATGGTTAGCATGTACTATAGACCGAAATATACTACCAATATTCTACACTGGCTTATGATCTCAAACCTCTCTCTTATACCTTTTGTCGTGCTATTTTGGAACATTCATGACACATTTTCGAGAAGAAAAGCCTGAGGTCATAAAATATACTATTATGTTGTCATATAATCTCACACCTTCTGCTATGAAACACCTAGTTATTAAAAACCTCACCAACATAGA